ATAAGAGGCTCCACCCCTTCAAAGCTCGCGCGCTTCACCACAACCCCCAAGCGCGTGGAGTTGGCCTCCGCGGGGGGGTGCAAAAGAGCCTCGACCAGACACTCTTCCCGATGGCCAAACTGCCCTCGGCTTCGAAAAGACCTCTCACCCCTCCCTCTCTCCTCCACTACCGTTTTAATTTCACTTTGATTGTCCTGGACACTCCCAACTCCCACACCATCATCGTCGGGCCTTCGGGGAATCCCCTCCGTTGAGGCCTTCTCCTGAAGGACAGGAACGACCTCTCGAGCGCGCTTTCGGCGATCCTCCACCACGCGCGTCCCCCTCCCGATGTAGTTCTGTAGATGGCGCTCTCCTCTAGTGGGCATTTTAGCTATTAGGTCCTATTGAGTCTTTATTCAAAACCTAGAGGAATCGCAATGTAACGTGTATTGTAACAGAAACCAACAAGGCTAACGATTAGAAAAGTGAAGGAAAGCTCTACAGGGTGATATAGACCCGACTATGGGTAATTAGCACAAGGGGGCGCAAAGGGAAAGGGGAAAAAAATGAATTTGTTACTATTGTACACGCCTTCATTAACAAGAAACAAAAGGATCCGAGAAGAATAAAATATCCCTCACAAGTGATGTTTTTCGGCACGATTTAAAAATACAAATTTGATTCAAAAAAGTATCAGAGGTACAATTTTAAAAAACTTTCACCCACAATGCCCATAATAAATAATGAGCATTTTATAAATATTTGAAGTAATTTCAACGCCTCTAACAGAGTAATATAATGCATATTTGTTTGTACGAATTAAAAAAAGGAGGGATAATTGTTGAATTTCACCTAAAATAAATCATCAGAACCTGTGCACCGCCACCACATACGTTAATACTCAATAATGTATATTAAATAAAGACTTAAGCACTACGGAATTACAAATTAAAATGAGCTTAGGATTAACAAAATAAACGCACCTCGGTAATATACTTTATTTTTTTACCATAGTAATTAGAAAAATCAATTTCCCACCCACTGCTCTAATTCACCTATCCACCCATACAAGTTTCCTTCTGTGATGTCTTAAGAATATTGACTAAAGAGTTCCAACACCGCTGCACGTATATGCACATGAATAAAAAAGTCTAAAAAAAAGATATGCTTTTTGTGGTCTAACAACCTCATAGCACCCTTAACCACCGTTCAGCGCGTTGAAGTTGGTTTTTTCCTTGAATAGACATCCAAAGAGACGCTTTTTTTAGTTAAGGACAACGAAACAGGAGACAATATTTTTTAAATCAGGGTTTCAAACTTTTTTATTTCTTGAACTCTTATATCAAAGGGACCTATTTACTTTCACATGGATAAAAGCTCTTAGTTGTTCTTCCGCTTCAAATCGATTTTATCACTCTTTACAGAATTGCCTAATGACCTTTCAGACACCGATTCACGCTTATGAGTTTCATTTCTGCGCGAAATTTTTTCAGAAAAACACCGTACGAGGATTAGTGACGTGAAAAGTCCCACCAAGAAGCAAACTAAGACCATTGATAACGTACCCCAAAGCCCATTCATACGAAAATCCCCTGTATCATCCAAAAGTAACTTCTGCACATTGGAACCATAGAAATTAAACGAAGCCATCAGCTTCGATAAAATACCGCCGAGAACTCCCCGCCAAATCTGTAAATCGCACAGGCGTCGCCATAACGCGGTGCTCAGCGAAAGGATTTGGTCAGTCAATGGCAAACTCCTCTCCGTAGGGTGTTTGGGTGTGTTCCCATCGGCTTCCTGTTCCCAGATAATGTGGTGGTGCGGCAAGCATAGCTGCTGCCTCTCGCAAAATGCCTTTGCCGTGGGTAACTCGTACGTCTGAGGCACCCCAGAGCCCATCGCCGCGTCGCCGGTGCCTGCACCGGGCTGAAAAAGCTGAAGCGCGGTCGCCAAAAGCGCGTCGTGGAGATCGTCCAGGACCTCCGCGCAGACCCCCCGAATCGCTCGCCGCAGTTCCGCCTGGCTGTCGTGGCGTGCGGCGCTCGCGCCCTCGTTGTGCGCGATCTGCTGCCTCGCGTGGGTCGTGCGGAGGCGATCGCAGAGACCATCGACGCCGTCGTGCAGCTCCACCGCCAGGCGCTGACGGGCCCCACGCGCCTGTGCCGCAGAGTGCGCGCCGCCGTCCCCTGCCAAGGAGGACGTCGT